ATTTGTTTCTCCATCTCATTAAAAAATGGCGGTGGAATTTGGGATTGCATTGTGTGTGTAGATCGCTTTGGGTAGAATTGACGTTTTCACAAAGTTGAGTGTTGCTGTCCAAGCGCAAGGGTTGTTTTTCCACTTACGCGGTCGCTTTTGGTTTCTCGCGGTAGCGTCTTGTAGTTTTCATCGTGTAGGTGTTTTACGTTTCTGGTTAGATTTATTTCTAAGTATATTTTTTTGGGGGTCATTGTAAACGGTATTGATTTGGTGATTTCTTCTTCGAAGTTCTGTTTGTTGGTGAAGAGGAATCCAACTGAGTTTTGTATGTTTATCTTGTATCCTGATACTTTGGTGAAATCTTTTATTAGTTCCAGTAGTTTCCTTGTAGATTTTTTTGGGTTTTCTGTGTATAAGATCATACCATCTGCAAATAAAAATACTGTTAGTTTTTCTTTACCAATTTGGATGCTTTTATTTCTTTTTCTAGCCTAATAGCTCTGGCTAGGACCTTTAACACAATGTTAAATTGTACATTTTCTTTAGTGAAGTGTCTGTTTAAGTCCTTTCTCCATTTTTTGGTTGAGTTCTTTGTATTTTTGTCAAGTTGTAGGACTTCTTTGTGTATTTTGGATATTAAACTCTGATCAGATGTACGGTTTTCAAAGATTTCTTCCATTTTGAAATGTCGGTTTTCTCTAGTAATATTCCTTGTCTTAAAGTTCATCTCGTTTGATAACTAGTGTGGCCACTTCAGCTCTCTGATGGCTTCTGTTTGTGTGGTCCGCGTTTTCCATCTTTTATCTCTGTGCTCTTCGTGTCTTTGAGTCTAAGGAAACGATGTTGTATTGTCCTCAGTCCATCCTGTCAGGACTCACAGGCGGTCCACCCCATTATTGGTGATGTGACCTTGGTCACTTGGTTAGACGGTGTCTAGGTTATCTAGTGCTGCTGTAACAAATACCACAAGTGGATGGCTTTAACAAAGAAATTTATTCTCTCACAGCCTAGAAGACTAGAAGTCCAAATGCAGGGCCTCATCTCCAGGGGAAGGCTTTCTCTGTCTGTTGGCACTGAAGGAAGGTCCTTGTCATCCATCTTCCCCTGGTCTAGGATCTGCTCCGCACAAGGATCCTGCGTCCAAAGACGCACTCCCCTCCTGATTCTTCATTCTTGGTAGTATGAGGTCCTCTTGTCTCTGTGCTGGCTTCTCTTATATCTCAAAAGATATCGACTTAAGACACAACCTGGTCTTGTAGTTTGAGTCTTGCCTCGTTAACATAACTGCTCTTAATCGTAACCTCGTTAACATTGTAGTGGTAGGATTTACAACACATAGGAAAACCGCATCAGGTGACAGAATAGTGGACAATCACACAGTTAAGCCAAGTTGACAAGATGTTTTGGGGGGACACAATGCAATCCATGACAGACGGTGTCTGCCCAGCGTCTCCACAGTAATGTTGCTGTCTTCCCCTTTGTAAGTAAAAACTCTTCTCAGGGGATGCTTTGAGACCCCACACGTTTCTCGTCATACTCTGGCCCTGTAGTTTTAGCATCCAGCCAGGATGATTCTTGCCCAAAACAACGATTTCTCTGGTGTTGTCATATGATGATTTCTTGTTTCCATAATCGTTTCTGCATTTATTGATTGGAATTCTGCTAGAAGGAAAAGCTGTCTCTTCTCCCTTACTCTTTCACTCATTCATTCAGTTGTTTATGTCAGTATGGCTTCGTGGATGTTTATTTTATTTTGAGATACAACACAGTACTGTTATTTATTTAGTGGTTATAGGGTCCCCGGTTTGGCCACTGGGAGCCCCTTATAGTTGACTGGTTTGTCCTTTCAACATTTCCCCACCATTTCTGGAGTATCTCTTGACTTTCTGGTACCATAAGATGTTCCAGGCTCATCTTGCAATTTCCCTGCCCCCAGCCTTGGAATCAGCCCTTTCTCTAAGGAGCCCTGGGCCTTTTTATTGGGAACAGTATTTGCTGGGAAGGTTGGATTACATGGTAGGGAGTTAGGCCATCCTGTGCACTGGAGGCTGTTAAGCAGCATCTTTGGCCTCCACCCACTTGATGCCAGTAGTGCCTCCTCCCCTCCCACTCGTGACAGCCGCAAATGTCTCTTTGTTGCCGTCGAGTGGGCTCCGATTCATAACAACCTGATGTATAACAACGAAACACTGCCCAGACCTACACCATCTTCACAGTCGTCGTTATGCTTGAGCCCATTGTTGTAGCCACTGTGTCAGTCGACTGCATTGAGGGTCTTCCTCTCTTTCGATGACCCTCGGCTTCACCAAGCGTGATGTCGTTCTCCAGGAATCAGTCCCTCTTGATAACGTTTCCAAAGTCTCACTCTCCTTGTTTCTAAGGAGTGTTACGGCTGCACTTTCTCCAAGCCAGATTGGTTTATTTTTCTGGCAGTTTATGGTGTATTTAGTAACCTTTGCCAACACCACAGTTTGAATCCATTAACTCTTTTGTGGTCTTCCTTATTTATTGTCCAGCCTTTGCACGCATATGAGGAGATTGTAAAGACCATGGCTTGGGTCACTGTCTCCTTAGAGAGGTCACATCTTTACAAGATTTTAAAGAGGTCTCTTGCCTGCTTTGCCCGGTGCAGTATGTCATTTGATTTCTTGACTGCGGCTTCCATGGGCGGTGATTGTGGATCCAAATAAAATGAAATCCTAGACTACTTCATTTTTTTCACCGTTTATCTTGAAGTTGTGATTGAAATGTTTCTTTTTCTTGGGTGCCGTCGAGTCGATTCCAATTCATAGTGACCCCATGTGACAGTAGAACTGCCCCATAGGATTTCCTCATCTGTAATCTTTATGGGAGCAGATCACCAGGTCCTTTTCCTGCAGAACCGCTGGGTGGGTTTGAATTGCCAACCTTTTAGTTAGCAGTTGAGCGCTTAACCTTTGCGCCACCAGGGGTCCTTTGGCAAAGTCTGGAGACGTTTTAAGGAGCCCTGGTGCACAATGGAGAAGGACGTGGCAGTCGCTTCTGTAAAGATTTACAGTCTTGGCAATCCTGGGAGACCCTGGGGCTGTTCTCCCCTGCCCTGTAGGGTGGCTCTGAGTCAGAATCCACTGGCCAGCAGCAGGTTTGGGGGGCCCAGGGATTGAGCGCTTGAATGGACAGGTTCACTGCCAAGGCGCTGGCCTCCCCAGGACGTGTGGTCTTTGAGGCAGAGGGACCTCCTGGCCTCTTGTTGGCTTCTGGCTTCCTGCCGGGGTGAGGGTGTCCCTGGGAGCCCGCCTTGGGTGGGGGGGCTGCACACACCCTGCGTTCTTCTGTCTGTTAGATCTCAGCCATGCTGGGGGTGTGAAGTGGATTCCCTGTGGGTTTGACCTGCATCCATCATGGTGGTTCTAAAGCTGGAAGGATAAGGGAAGCATGCAGACACAGGGAGAGGCCACTGGGCGTGGAGCCGGGTTCATGGAAGTGGGTGTGGCGGTCCACCTGGAGCTGCAGGAGGGTCTGAGCCGCCCGAGCGGGGGAGGGGAGGAGCCAGGTAGGATGCAACAGGAGCAGATCCAGCCTAGGACTGGGACAGGCCTTTCCTGGGCCCTGAGATCCCCGTGCAGGGCACAGGAGAAGCGGACCCTCTCAGCACACAGATCCATGTCGTCAGGCTGAGCTTGGCAGTCTCCCAGCTCCTGCTTCTGAATCCTGTAAAAGACCCTCCCGGGGAAGGAGAGGGTGTTCTCTGAGATGGAGGAGGAAGAACACGAACACGAAGGCTGTTATTTATGGAACGGAGCATGGGAGGCAGGGTGTCACCTGGGGACACGGCTTCCCGGGGACAGAGCCGGCAGCGTCAGGTCTCCGTGGCAGGTTTCTGAGTGCATGCGGGGTAGCGGGGGCTGGTGGAACAGCCCAGCACGTTGGTGTCCCGGGGCCATGTGACAAAGGACCAAAACCACGGGGCTTAAAACAGCAGACATTGATGGTCTTACGGTTTTGGAAGCCAGAAGTCTGAAATCAAGGTGTTGGCAAGGCTGTGCTCCCTCTGAAGGCTCTAGGGGAGGATCCTTCCCTGAATCTTCGAGTTCTGGTGGCCCCAGCGTTCCTGGGCTTCTGGCTGCATCACTCCTGTCTCTGCCTCTGCCTTCACAGGGTGTCTTTCCTCTGTGTTTGGCGATCTTTTCTGTCTCTTATAAGGACGTTTTTATTGGATTTAGGACCCAGCTAAATCCATTGGTTGCGTGGATGGATGGGTGGGTGAATGGATAGATGAGTGGAGGATGGATAGTGGAAGAATAGATGGCAGGTGGATGGATGGGTGAGTGGATGGATAGATGGAAGAATAGGTGGTGGCTGGATGGATGGATCCTGAACAGAGGGAGGGAGGGAGAGAGGGAGAATGAATGAGTAGGTGGGTGGTAGATGGATGGATAGATAAGTGGATAGATGGTGGAAGAATAGGTGGTGGGTGGATGGATGGATCATGAATGGAGGGAGGGAGGGAGGATGGATGAGTGGGTGGGTGGTGGATGGATGGACAGATGAGTGGATAGGTGATGGAAGAATAGGTGGTGGGTGGATAGACCGATCATGAGTAGATGGATGGAGGGAGGGAGGGAAGGAGGACAGATGGGTGGATGGGAGATGGAGTTGGCAAAGGATTAAGCCATTGTGGGACCTTGGGGAAGTCACTTCACTTCTGCCTTCTGTTGCTGTTGATACGTCCAAATCACTTTCTTTTCAACATCTTCCTTCCAGGAGCGTTTGCCGCCAGGATCCTCTGGGCAGCCCCTCAGTGCTGCGGGCAGGGAGGGACGTTACTGCTGTGGGGTCACCCAGGCCTCCCTCTGCGGGGGGTGGGCTGACAGACGTCTGCATCCTGGCCTGGACACTCCCATTGGGCACGCCTCACCAGCCCCCGGGAACCCCCCACCCCCAGCCCATATGGGTGGGCAGCAAGGAGCCGGGGTGTCAGTCACAGGCAGGCACAGACGCCGGGGTTAACAGAGAACTTTTCTGACACGCTAGGTTTGTGCTGGCTGTGGGCAGCGCCGTCTTCGATGCGATGTTCAACGGGGGAATGGCCACCACGTCGACGGAGATCGAGCTTCCTGATGTGGAGCCCGCTGCCTTCCTGGCCCTGCTGAAGTGAGCCTGCCCCACCACGGCAGCAGGGCGGGGTGGGGGGCCGCGGGCGGGCGGGGGCCTCGCGGGGAGCCCGGTCTTTTCCCAAGTCAGGAAGCGAGGACAGGTCTCAGGAAGAGGACCGAGGCCCCTGCCTGTGCTGCCTAAGAGTCCACAGGTGAGGAGGCGTCTAGAGCTCACCTCTGCGGCAGCGACAGTGCTGGGAGATACGTTTCACATAGCGCTCTGCAGCTCACTCCCGGGGAGTACGCAGCTCACTCCTCCCGGGGAGTACGCAGCTCACTCCTCCCGGGGAGTACGCAGCTCACTCCTCCCGGGGAGTACGCAGCTCGGTGGTTTTCCCTATGTTCACAGCCGTGCAGGCGTTTCCACTGTTCGGTTCTATAGTATTCCATCACCCCAAGGGGAGACCCTATGCCCATTAGCAGTCACCCCCTATTGCCCCCTTCCCCAGCCCCTGACAACCACTGATCCACTTCCTGTCTCTTGGGTTGGTTCATCCTGGACGTTTCGTGTAAACGGGGTCACACACAGTGGGGCCTTTTCTGTCTGCTTCCACTGAGTGTATTCTTGACTTGTCGTAAACGCACACGTAACAAACATTTACCACTTTAACACCCTTGACCTGTCGTTCAGCCATCACGTTATTCGAGCATCACCATTAACTCTTCCCGAATTTTCCACCACGCTTCACAGAAACTCAGTGTCCCCTAAGCAATGCCTCCCTCCCCCCCCGCCGCCCCCATCCCTGGTAATCTCTGATCTGTGTCCCTGGGTCTGTCTGTTCTGGGTGTTTCCTATCAGTGGGATCAGACAATGTTTGTCCGTCTGTGATGGATTTCACTCAGCGTCACATGTTCAGGGTTGTTCATGTCGTGTGCGTGGAGACTTCATTTCCCTTTATGGCTGGGCAGCGTCCCACTGTACGGACGGACCACGCCGTGTTTGTCCGTCGTCTGCTGGTGGACACGTGGCTGGTTTCCACCTTTTGGCTGCTGTGAATAGTGTTGCAGTGAACCTTGGTAGCCAGTGTGAGTCCCTGCTTTCAAGTCTCCTGGGTAGACACCTAGGAGCGGAATTGCTGGGTCGGGGGGTAACTTTCTGAGGAGCTGCCAGACTTTTCCACAGTGCTTGCACTGTTTTACATTTCCACTAGCAATAGAGGGTTTGGTGTCTCCGCTTACTTGCCATTTTTCCCCTTTTCTTCAATCACCCCCCCTCAAGTTCTGACGCTTGGTGCTTCGAGGTGGCCAGGCAGTGATAGCACATGCATCTTTGTCTAGAGGATCCCCCATTTGGTCCGCTGAGGGCACTGGACCATGCATGTGGCTTGGCCCTTGGGGCCAGGGTGTGGGGGCCTCTGCGTCTGAGAACAGGTCCCGGGAGGAGCCTCGAGGCCCCTCGTGGGCCTCACGCATGCCCAGGGGCAGGGGGCTATGTCTCTGGTGTGCCTCAAGGCTCATCCTGCCCGGTGGGGCTTGTCTCCTGCTTGTTTTCTCGGGTAACAGCCTGCTGAGTCGTGTCCCCAGGTCGGAGGGCAACAGATGCTGGTTCTGGAAGGTCCCTCGGGGCCGGATTGTGTGACCGAGTGGCCACCCTCCCCCAGGGCCGGCGCGGCCGCTCCCGGCTCACGACGCTGCCTCCTCAGGTTCCTCTATTCGGACGAGGTTCAGATCGGACCCGAGACGGTCATGACGACCCTGTACACCGCCAAGAAGTACGCCGTGCCCGCCCTCGAGGCCCACTGCGTGGAGTTCCTGAAGAAGAACTTGCGCGCCGACAACGCCTTCATGCTCCTCACGCAGGTGCGTCCGGTGCTGCCAGGGGGTGGGGGGCGCGGTGCCGGCAGTGGGGGTGGGGTGGGGGTGGGGGTATGGGGGAATGCGTGCTCGGGGGCGGGGGAAGGGGTGCCGGAGTCCCAGTCATCAGGGTAAAGAACACTAACGCAGTGTTGGAAAAACGCAGAACTAACCCGGGGCGACCACGGTGAACAAAGCGCGGTGTCTGCAGTGAAGACGGCGTCGGGCGGGGCCGGGACCAGGGCGAGGCCCGCTGGGCAGCGTCTGGCACGCGCGGGGCCGAACCCCGTCTTTAAGTAAAATGTTGATACACGTTTATCGTGGCTGTTTTTGCCTTTTTCAGTGTTGTGATGCCGCATTGTTTGTCTTTATTTCTGAGTTTCTCAGGGCCCCTAAAATTTGCACCCGTGGCGAGAGTGTCGCCTCCCCATGCTGGCCCTGCTGGGGCTCCGAACTCTCGTCTGGTGTTGACCTGTGAGGTTCAGGGGGTCGCACCTCGGTTCACTGCTTTCCTGCCGGTGCCCAGTGCGGGGGGCTTTGCCCTGTGTTTCTGGGTTGTTGTTGACGAATAACACTGAATTTGAGGGCCTCAGGATTCCAGGAAGGCCGCCCCCAGCTTGTAGGCTGGGAACACACAGGCTTGGTGTGCGCATCCCCCGGCTCCCCAGTCCCGGGGGAGGGGGCACCACAGAGCACGCCACGTCCCCAGACATGTTGGGCTGTGCCAGGGTGGCTGGGCGCTGTTTGCTTTTTACTTCATTTTTGTTTTTAATAGTGTGGTAAGTAAGTTTTACCGTGGTAATCTACACCTAACAACGTTTTCTGTTTTAACCGTTTCTGAGTGTACAGTCTGGCAGCGTTATAGTCACGAAGTTGTGCAACTGTTACCTCTGTCTGGTTCCAGAACATTCTCATCACCCTAGAAGTGATCCCCACACCCATCTGCAGTCACCCCATCCCCCTTCCCCAGTCCCAGCAGCCACTAACCCCCTTCTTGTCACTGTGGGCTTGCCTGTCGCGGTGGTTTCTCATCAGTGGGGTCAGACGCCACGTGGCCTTTCGTAAGTGGCTTCTCTCACAGGGCATCACCGACAGTGTGGCGTGAATCAGTGCTTCGTCTCTCTTTATGGCCAAGTAACGTTCCCTCGTGTAGATGGACCACGTGTTTGTCCGTCACCTGCTTGTGTCCCAGGGGGTCGTTTTCCCCTCTGGCTCCTGGGAGCCGCGCTGCCGTGAACGCTGGTGCCCAGGTGTCTGCGCCCCTGCTCTCAGGTCTGCGGTGGTGGTTCTGTGAGCTGCTGAGGCTGCTCCCCGCTGCCGACCGTGGAGCTGCTGGTGGGAGGCCTCTCTGTGGGCAGGGCGGGGAGTGGGCGCGTCACCCCAGGGCGGTGTGGGGGCGTGACCGTCCTTCCAGGGGGCTCGGGTCTGCGAAGATACGTGCATCCTCGCCCCGTGCTGTGGCGTGTGCTCCCAGGAGGGCCTGCTTCTTCAGGCCTGTCACGGCTGCGTCTTCTCCGTCTGGCAGTCAAGTCTTTTTGGCAGATGCCACAGTGGGAGGAGGTGGGTTGGGAAGGGGGCGCTGGGGTGTCGGGGGACACCAGGCCTGGCTCCGTGTGCTCTGGGGGACGAGGTCTGGTGTGGCCATGTGTGCATGGAGAGCCGCCCATGTGGCGGACCAGGAGGCCGGGGTGGGAGTGGGGTTCTGGGCGGAGACACGGGCACTCGGGTCTGGCCTGTCTGATTCCCGTTGTTCTGCGGGTTGGGGGGCCGGAGACAGGCCGCTTCGGGGCTGTTGGAGGTGAGGAGGTGGCAGAGGTCCCCAAGTGGGGTCAGGCAGCATCCTCTCCCTGGGCTTGGGCGCTGACCCCAGACCTGCCCCGTTTGCAGATGGCCCTGCTGTGGTGCTGGTTCCCTGCCTGAAGGGTGGGCCCCCCAGGATGTGTGGGAGCCCAGGACCTCTGTGTCCGTGTGGGGCCTCCAAGCAAGTTCCCGTGGTCAGAGCTCTTGGCCCCGCGCACTGCTCAGGTCTAGCTGCCTCGGTGGAAGGCGCCAGAGACGCCCGGGCCCCCTGCTGGGTGTGTGCGTTGTGCGGGGCCGTGGTCTCGGATCCTCGGGCAGCCAGTCATCGTGGTCCCCTTGAGGCAGGGGCTCCCTTCTTAACATGACTGCGGACACCAGGCCTCCCTCCAGGCAACACCTCCAGCTGTGGGCCAGGTCCCCGTCAGCACACACCCCAGCGGGTTCTGACCGTGCGGGTCCGCCTTGGGTTTCCGGGAGCAGACGGCGCCAGCCCCGCCGTTGACCTGGGCCTGGGATGCCCCTGGAAGCTCAGCGCCGCCCCCTTCAGCCTGAGCAGGCCCGCACTTTGGCCGTCGGCACTGACGCTGCCCCGTCCTCTCCGCAGGCGCGACTCTTCGATGAGCCGCAGCTGGCCAGCCTGTGCCTGGAGAACATCGACAAGAACACAGCCGACGCCATCACCGCAGAGGGCTTCACGGACATCGACCTGGGTGAGGGGCGCTTGTGCGCGTGTGTGTGAGGGAGAGTGCGGGGGGGGGTGGTCTCGGCCCCCGTGGCGCCATGTGACCTGGGTGGGGGCGCGTGTGTGTGAGGCAGAGTGCGGGGGGGGTCTCAGGGCCCCCGTGGCGCCACGTGACCTGGGTGGGGGCGCGTGTGTGAGAGTGCGGGGGGGTCTCGGCCCCCGTGGCGCCATGTGACCTGGGTGGGGGCGTGTGTGTGCGCACGTGCCTGGGCCTGTGTCCCCGACTGCAGCCCCGCGGTCTCGGTTCCGGCCGCCGGGCTGTGCTGTGTAGCGCCGAGCGCTAGTGATGATTGTGTGCAGCCGCGTGTCGATCAGACGTCGTTCACGAGAGCAGTTCGGGAGCTGGGGGCCCCACACTGACCTCCCCGCTCCCTGCAGACACGCTGGTGGCCGTCCTGGAGCGCGACACACTGGGCATCCGTGAGGTGCGCCTGTTCAACGCCGTAGTGCGCTGGTCCGAAGCCGAGTGCCAGCGGCAGCAGCTGCAGGTGACGCCCGAGAACAAGCGCAAGGTGCTGGGCGCGGCTCTGGGCCTCATCCGCTTCCCGCTGATGACCATTGAGGAGTTCGCCGCAGGTAACGCCGTGCCCACTGCCCCCTGGTGACCCACCTGCTCCCCTGCCAACTCCCTGTGATCCCACCTGCTGCCCCCGCCTGACCCTCTGTGACCCCGCTCCCTGCACCTGCCGACCCCATGACCCCGCCCGCTCCCCCACCGTGATGCAGCCTGTCCCAGTCATCGAGCCCGTGGGCACGTATACAGTGGACAGTCGCCATGTGAGCACCTGGCGCCTCCTGCGTCCGCCTGTCCTGTGCGTCCCCACGTGTCTGTGGGAGGCCCTGTGGTGCTCGGGGAGCTGTGGGGGCGACGTGGGCGGGTCCGACAGGGCCCTAGCCAGCGATCCTCTTTCCTGCCCCTGAGGCAGTGCTGGGCAGTGGGAGGACGGGCCCGGAAGGTTCCAGGTGGTGCAGCCCAGTGGCCACTCTCCTGAGTCTGCACCCCCCACCTCCACATGAGCTGGGCTCAGGGCTGCCAGGTGTGACAGCCTCACTTCTCTAGTGAGTGGGTGCCACCTGGGACGTGCTTACGCTGAGAAGCTGTCACTGTTTGTCAAACCCCCGAACCCAGCGCTTTGCATTTTGCGTGGCTTCCCTCCCGGGTCTCCCCAGGGCCACGGGGTCCCCGCCCTCGAGCACACGTGCTTGCTCCCCCACCTGGTGTACCGTCACAGCCCTGGGGCGCAGGGACACGGACTCTGAAGAGGGGTGGGGGGCAGCCGTTGGGGCCCATGCCGTCTGGGGTGCCTCAGCGTCCCAGCTCAGAGAAAGTCTCCATAGTGTGCGGTCCTTCACGAGCAGGTGCATCCTGAGCCCCTGCTGTGTACATGTTCCCACGGTGACCAGAGTGGCCGTGGCCTTGCTGACACGGGGCCAGTGGTTCTCGGGGGGCGGGGGGCGTCCTTCTCTGGGGGGGGCGTCCCGTGCCCTGCAGGGTGTTGAGCAGCGTCGCTGACCTCCACCCACTCCACGCCGGTAGCACCCCTTAGTTGTGACGACCACAGATGTTGCCTAGTGTCCCCTGGGGACAGGCTGGCCTGGACAAGCCTGGGGGCAGTGTTGATATGTTCAGTTTTCTGAGCCAGACTCTTCCTTGGCCCCGCCCCCCGAGTTGGCCCTGCCCCCTCTCCCCTTTGCTCCCACCCGTTCTTTGCTGGGACTTTCTCCGGTCGGCTTCATTCGTGCCGTGGCCAACCTCGTCCAGCCCTTGAAAACACCGTCTTGTTGCTCGTCTGCCTTTTTTCTTGTGCGTCCCGCCCCCCATCCCCAGAAACGACCCTCTGTCGGCTGGCCACCTGCTGGCCCACACCTCGGGGCCCATGGCTGCTCCTCCCCGCGGGGCCCGGCCCCCATGGCCCTGCTCAATGGAACCGTTTTCATGCTCCTTCCACCCCCAGCACCCCGCCGAGACCGTGTCCCTCCCGCTGTCCCCTAGCCGGCCTCATGGTCAGGACGTACCACCCCCTGGAGTGACCGTGTGTACGCCCGTAAATGCTCACGTGTGGACGTGTGTGCATGTGCGTGAACGTACGTGTGTGCACGTGTGTATTGGTCTGACTTGGGGTTTCGCCTTGGCCCCGTTTTCTCTGTGGCGACACGCTCAAGGACGGGGTGTGTGGTCACCGCTCAGCCAGGCCCATGGAAGGTGCTGGAAGGTGCCCTGGTGCATAGACGGTCCCGCTCCTCTGGAGCCACGACAGGGACAGACGGAGCTGCTGCCCGGCCTCGCCCCTCTGCCCCTCTGTGTTGGCAGGAGCGTCCCTGCCCCAGGCCACCTGCCATCGCAGCCGCCTCGGGAGATGCAGGCGCGGAGGAAGAAGGTGGAGACGCTCCTGCGACGTGCCCACCACGCGGTGGTTGCGGCCGCGCCCCGTGTGCTTGTCTTCCGGGACTGCATTCTCTGCAGAGGCTGTTTGTAAACGCCGTTGTGAACACTGTCTCCTTTGTCCCCACCTCGTCTCTGTACTCGCCTGCACGCTCCTTGTCACCGCGTCCCTGAGTGCCGGGTGGAATAAACGCGCTTGTCCCGGGTCCTGCATTATTTCCTGCGCGTGGAGCTGCCGGGGGACGGGCAGGGCCACGCTGAGGCTCTGGAGAGGCAGGAGGGGACCCCGGCTCGCGATGCCCGCGTCCTGCGTGTGGCCTCTGCCATCGGGGCTCCTGTGTCTGAGGTGCCTGAGATGGGAAGCACTGCTTCTGGGGGCCCACGGGAGGGTCCTGCCTCGCACACCTCAACACAGCCGGGACCCCAGTGCCCGTGTGTGCCTCTCTCGGCGTGTGGGCTGGGTCTCAGGGCCAGGCTGGTCTGGGCCGCCTCACGGCCCGGGGAGGTGACAGAGACATAGCTGGGTTTGCGGTGTTGGCGATTGGGGCCACACTGTTCCAGAGCCTGCAGCTTCCTCTCTTCTCCTTCCGGGCCCGCCCTCAGGGCGCCTCTGCGGCTCCGGCCCGTCCTAGGCAGCTCCCCATTGTTGGCCGCCAGCACCTGTCTGTGGAAACATTTCAGGGTTTGCTGCTTGTCGCCCCTGGGTGCGGGGGGCCTGGAGCTGGGGTGCCGGGAGCTGGGGGCCTGGGCATCGTCGCCTGAAGAAGCCACAAGCGATACCGACCGCTGGCCCAGGCATACGACTCCTCGCAGCTGGCACGCACGTGGGACGTGAGGGCAGTTCCCGGGGTCCGGGAGTCGTGGGCGGGCAGGGGTCCACTGAGGCCCTGTGGCCTGGGCCGCCCTGGGGGCTGTCAGCGCCATGAACCAGGGGCAGCCCCAGGTCCTCCCTGAAATCAGGCAGTGAGGACTCTTATGGCCATGGGTGGGGCACAGGGCAGCCCCGTGGCCATGGGTGGGGACACAGGGAGGCCCAATGGCTGTGGGTGGGGGCACAGGGAGGACCCGTGGCCGTGGGTGGGGGTACAGGGAGGCCCCGTGGCCGTGGGTGGGGGCACAGAGAGGCCCCATGGCCATGGGTGGGGCACAGGAAGGACCCATGGCCGTGGGTGGGGGCACAGGGAGGCCCCGTGGCTGTGGGTGGGGGCACAGAGAGGCCCCATGGCCGTGGGTGGGGCACCGGAAGGACCCATGGCTGTGGGTGGGGGCACAGGGAGGACCCGTGGCTGTGGGTGGAGGCACCGGCTTCCCAGAGGAGGGGTTCCGGGACTCCTGACGCGGCGGAGAGGACACTGTGGTGGTTTCTGGGCTGTCGAATCTTCCAGGGCTCTTCAGGGCCCTCCCAGTCCCAGCACGTCCTCTGCCCACAGGCCCTGCGCAGTCCGGCATCCTCATGGACCGCGAGGTGGTCAGCCTCTTCCTGCACTTCACGGTCAACCCCAAGCCGCGTGTGGATTTCATCGACCGGCCGCGCTGCTGCCTGCGTGGGAAGGAGTGCAGCATCAACCGCTTCCAGCAGGTGGAGAGCCGCTGGGGCTACAGCGGGACCAGCGACCGCGTCAGGTGGGCTGGGGGGGGGACAGCGGGACCAGCGACAGTGTCAGGAGGGGCTGGGCGAGGGGGGCGACAGTGAGGGGCCCAAGCATGGGGGGGCCTAAGCATGGAGGGAGGGCAGTGGTGAGGGGGGCCTGAGCCTGGAGGGGAGATAACAGTGAGTGGGGGGGCCTGAACGTAAGGGGGGACGATGGTGGGGAGAGCCTGAGTGTGGAGGGGGGATGATAATGGGGTGACCTGTGTGTTGGGGAATGCCTGAGTGTTGGCAGGGGGCAGCCCTGAGTGCTGTGGTGGGCCCTGGTGTGTCTGAGCCTGGAGGGGCCCGAGTCTGGGATGGGGAGTGGGCGGCAGGATCCACAGGCGGTGCAGACACACGCCCCCCAGGAAGGTCTGAGGGTGGGGAACTCGGGGTCATTGTGGTGGTTCTTCGGCCATTTCCGGCCGACATGGCTGTAGGCGTGCTGCCCCTACTGTCCACACAGAGACGCTCTCCTGTGGGGGGACCGTCTCTAAAGCCGCCCCGCCCCCAGGTTCTCAGTGAACAAGCGCATCTTCGTGGTGGGGTTTGGCCTCTACGGGTCGATCCACGGGCCCACCGACTACCAAGTCAACATCCAGGTACCCCCGCAGGAGCCCCCACTCTCGTTCGGCCGCCGTCCTGGGGCGCCGAGGGCCGGCGGGCGCCACCCACAGGGGGCGGGTCCCTGCGGGCGGGTCGGGGCTGAGTGGCCGTGCTCCGGCCTGCAGATCATCCACACGGACAGCAACACCGTCCTGGGCCAGAACGACACGGGCTTCAGCTGTGACGGCTCCGCCAGCACCTTCCGCGTCATGTTCAAGGAGCCCGTGGAGGTGCTGCCCAGCGTCAACTACACGGCCTGCGCCACGCTCAAGGTGCGCCGCGCAGCCCCGACGCCACCCGACCCCGACCCCGACCCCTGTACCCGTAACCTTCTACGCCAGCCCCCGGGCGCTGACCCCAGCCCTGACCTCGGGGTGGATGTGGGCCCCCAGGGTCCCTGACGGCGCCCTCCCGCAGGGCCCGGACTCACACTACGGCACCAAAGGGCTGCGCAAGGTGACCCACGAGTCGCCCACGACGGGCGCCAAGACCTGCTTCACCTTCTGCTACGCGGCAGGCAACAACAACGGGACGTCCGTGGAGGACGGCCAGCTCCCCGAGGTCATCTTCTACACCTAGCGTCTGCGCCCGGCCTCGCGCCGC